TCGGGGCCTCACGTTTCAGCTCGATCTACGGCTGGATTTGCTTTCCTCGGCCGTAAAAAATAACACGCAGGGCCTCAATAGCCAGGGCAACAGAATACATAGCAGATTCCAAAGCAGTAGCAAGCAGCACTGAGAATGACGCCAAATATCAGGGTCTCCACGAGACCACGCCCCCTTATGACCATCACGTTTGCGCTTCGTGCCCCATCTTTACCGTCATCAAACTATCCACCATACTTAGGCATGCTCCAAACCTAGCGCGACATGTTTAGACTGGTGGGCGCCTTTCACCATGCCCCAACAAGTGAGTTATATCGGACTTTGTCAATAACTTCACATCATGCTGCTATCTCTTTCTGAGCAGCATTTTCGTCCTGACGGGAGGGGGAGGGTGGGCGATGTAGCAACCCCCCCCCCCTCTTACTGCTTTCTGAGGACACCAATGCGGTATATGCAGTCTTATTCAAATTTTTGGTGGCCTCTGGGTCATCCATTGTACGAGTGATGACACCAAAAAAGTGCCCCTAGCAATTCTGGTTTTAGAAAAACGATGTTTTTTACGACCATCGCAAGACAATTCAAGGCCTGCGGGTGCGGCGAGCGGCAAGCGATGATTCTGCGGACCGCGCGCGGAGAGTCGGCACTGTTATGTGAACGAAACCCTGCATAATATACACATGCTCCAAGCACATAAAACTACACGCTTTTATACTCATAATTGAAAAAGGGACATGTCTCTTTATGTTCCATGTCACTTCGCTCCATGGTTCCGTATATATATATATATGCACATGCAAAGTTAATGTTTAATTTTCAGGAAAATTTGACCTTCAGCTTGGTTTACTGGCGTCACTAGACTAAGGGAGACACTGGAACAGGAGGCTTCTTACCAATCAAGAGATTTCGCTAAAGATAGGTCACTAATTGTTTGCTTTTGCGAGGCTTTACCTTTCTTACTTTGCAAACGTCACGGAGTCCCCCCCCCCCCCCTCCTCCACCAGTCCGCGTTACAAAAACAAGCAAGTCGGGGTAAGGATTTAAAGTGTTGGCTGCCATGCCTGTTTATTTATTTTATATCTGCTGTTGTAAAAAATCTTCTGCATTTCAGATCATGGAATCATCAACTGCTACAGCAGAATGCCACATTTCATTACCAACATTCAAACAGTGGTGGAAATCCAATTAGCAAGCCAAAATTGCCCCTTGCATGCAAGTAGCATGCAAATCAAAGGCCATCTGTGATGATTGTCATGTATAATGCAGGAGTATTCATTCAAATTGATATCTGGGGCACTACCCAATATCTACGTTGGGTTGGCCCCCTTAACGCCGATTCCTCCCCCCTCCCTCCACCGACATTTATAGATGGAAAGTTTCAAAAAGATATGAGAAAAGCTAAGTTTAACACAAAACGATCTTCTCTGGACTCAATTTATTCACCACGATCCATGGGTTGCTATATCCCCTAATCATGCATGAGAATTAGCGCTGCTGCCCTTATCCCACCACCACCACACAAACTATATTGATTTCTGCTATCATTGTAGGCTGCATATAAGGTAGGCTGTCTTCCTTCGCAGCCCGTACTTAATTGCATACAGTGATTATACCAATGGTCCCATCAGGACAATTTTACAATTCAATGGTAGCAAAAATTATCATCATCCCACCACCACAAAAATTATATCGATTTCTTCCACCATTATGGGCTGCATATAATGTAGGCTGTCTGCCTTCACAGCTCGTACTTGAATACATACAGTGATTATGTTAATGGCCCGATCAGGACAATTTTACGATTCAATGTTAGCAAACATAGAAATGAAACATACCATATCTGCATCCATGCAATTTCATACCCACAAGGGCAAGAAAATATGCACATAAATGAGCCCTGCAGAATGAATAACTTCCAGAGTTTTTCTGTGACAGTAGGAATGCTATCATCAGGAAACGGCCAACGCTTTCCTCAGAGAAAACCGAATGCCAACCTTTCACTGAGCTCATAGGACAGTTGGACCACAACACCATAAAACCTCCTGCTGTTTGAAGTAAGACTTTTGGTAAGGGGGGGGGGGAGGTGGCAGTGAAACATATACCCCCCTCATTGTCTGCATTTCCTACACATCACACTTCTCACTTTCATAGCCTTCCCATATCACATAAATTCTCAGCAACAAGATTCATATAAGCAAAAGGTTGAACTGTGAATAGTTGTTTAAAGGCTATCAAAACATTGATCAAATAATCGCATTTCATGCAGGGGCTCAGCTTTTCAAAAAAGGTTTGGGGCAGTGAAAAATTATACATTGTACCCCCAAAATATGGATGTCTCCCAGATTAGCACACTTACTTCTTCACAAACTTAAACGCGAGATTTGGGGCCCTGAATTGAATAAAAGGAAGGAGCACTCCTGATCTGAAGATCTACGTGACTGGTTACCCGTCTCATTCAGGACAAGCGCAAAAATGGCGTAAATTGGCATTTCGAAACTATTGTCACCTCCGGTTATGAGCAGTGTCATCAGACTTCAATATCAAACCCACGGTTTTTTGAAAGGGAAGAAAGCTGGTTACTGTTACTGCTTCAATGAGTCAGCAGCCTATTTGGTGCCTTGAAAAGGCGGTTTGGATAATCACAGGCCAATTTTTGCCTTGATCGGATTATCCAGCCGCGACATACCCTGAACTGTCAATGACTCTCGTCCCTGAGGACAAGATGTTAAATCACGGCATAGTCAACGAAATGAACAAGGCCAAAAATTATACCCTACGCGGGCATTCATGACACTGCAATGCGAAACCCACTTGCAAAGTTGCAGTGCACTGGAAGTCACAGCCCACCTGATATCAGTCGCATCGCAACGGTTGAAACACGTCCTTCTGGCCAGATGAATCCCCATATCAAAATATTTTTCTTAGGGGACGAGTGTCTGTCTGGGAGTAACCCGCTGATAGTGGAACGCATGCGGTGATGAGACGGTGCCGCGGGCTACAAAGTGCCAAATGATCCAGCACCGGCTGGTGGGCACATCTGTGTAGCACCCTTTACAAATATGCAGCAAAATAGATTTTCGAAGAGTACTCAGCTTGCTTTGATTCAAGTCGCTATTAGGACTTAGCGACGTATTCGACATCTAGGGTCATCTAGCGTCGATACCTCTCACACGATCTGTTACAAGGACGACAACTTTTATATCTTGCTGAGTGTAACATACTATTGCCGAATAATTATTGCTGCATCATAATGATGTACGTCCTGTGGGCTACTCTCCTCGCACGTATCATGGCACGTATGAGATCTTTGGTGTGTACATGTTACGAACGAAGTGGTCAGAAAGTAACCAAGCTTGTGGTCTATACATGTGTGTCAGCCAACCTTGTTCGTGTTCACCACTAACTTCGCTGCCTTTGAGACATGCTTGGGTCAATATGCGCGGCTTACCATGTCAATGACGCACTGTACTGATATTATCTGGCACACTGAGAAATCTATTGCCCGCTGACGTGCTCTGGTGAAAAACCGTAATTGGCGATGCGCAACTCCGGAGTCGGGAAAATGGCAAAACTTGCGCTTTGGGCTGGAAATTCAAAATCCCCCACATAAGTATTTGTGGTAGGAAATACCAGTACCAGGCCTGCAAAGACTCGCACACATATTACATTCTATGATAAAGTTTCTCGGACATGTGTAGTGTTCGAGTGACCTCAAAGCATGTGCTCCTCTTGCGCAGTTTCATATTTTCGCTGCTTTAAAATAATGTTATTGGTACGCATCAACAATTAGAGCCGCAAGCACGTGCAAGTTGTTGATTCGCTCAAGTGCAAATGGCTGCTTTTCACGAAATCATCATAAGGTAAAATTAATATTCATGCTCAGTCGCATCCGCACATATGTACACAAAAAATCCTGAGTGTCAACTCAAGTATGCTTGCAGCAGTAAACAGTCCCTGACATTCCATATGGCTGTAAAAACTTCCGGCATGGCTTATGACATGCCTCCCATTCTAGCTTTCCCATTAAGGACGTTCATAGAGACTAAAGGCGTCCCGTGCTTAAGTGTCTCATTGGAAAACTACTGGACCATAGCGTAAAAACAAGCTGATGCTACGAGGGAACAAATAGTGTGCACCGCTCGAGACATTCTTAAGAAGACCGATCACACCATTCACTACACTGACACAGCATGACATGATCCAGTGTCATCACATGTCGTGACGTTGTGTATCGAATGTATTGTGGCAGCACAAACACTCATTACCTGTTACTATAAGGTTTACTAACTCCTGATGCATGACAGCCTATGAAAAACCTTAACATTGCCTTAACCTTAAACCTTAGAACATAGCCAGGGATAACCATAACACCCTTGGAGCATTTGTATCAAATTTGGATTAAGTACAGTGAACGAAATACAACTCCCAACTCCACACAGTCCCAGTTGCAAACAGCTATAATGCCGTTCAATCCGAGCTCCACAGAACTCCAGCTCCACACGGCCCAAGATCCACAGAGCTCCAGCTCCACAGGGTTCCTGTTTCACACAACTCTAATTCAGCGAAGTCCCTGCTTCACACAACTCTAGCTCTGCGACGTCCCTGCTTTACAAAACTCTGGCTCAGCGAAGTCACTGCTTTACACAATTGTCGCTCCACATGGTCACTGCCCTGTTTCACACAACTGTAGCTCTAAGCAGTCCCAACTCTTCGCCATCCTAACTCTACACAGGCTCCATTCCCCATAGCCACAGCTCCACACAGTCCCAGCTCCATACCGGCCCAACTCTCTTAAGTCCCAACTCCACACAATCCCCACTCCCCACAGTCCTAGCTCCACACAGTCCCAGCCCCACACAGTTTCATCTCCACACAGTCCCAGCCCCATACAGTCCCAGCTCCACACAGTCCCAGCCCCACTCAGTCCCAGCCCCATACAGTTCCAGCTGTACACGATCCCTGCTCCAAGCAGTCCCAGGGCCCGTACAGCACCGTCTGCTCACACTCCCAGCTCCATCAGCATCAGCTTCCGCTTACCGGTCGGCAATGCCGCGGGCGTCATTCCCGCGAGCGGCACCTGCACCTTGATGTCCATGCCGGAGTGTTTATCAGAGCGGCAGCACCAGCCGGCCAGGCAAGACCGAAACCTGCCAGCACCAGACCGGTCAGGGGTCAGCACAGGCCGGTCAGGTGTCAGCACGGGTTAACCCCGGCCACCGGTCGCCACCGGTCACCGGTCACCGCCTGTCACGGGTCAGCGCCTGTCACGGGTCAGCGCCAGATCGGGTAATCGCTACCTGGTAGAGCAAAGTAAAGTATATAATTGCGGTGCAATACTAGAAGTACACTAGATGTGCAATGTTAGCTATGACTTTAGCTCACGATTAACGGTTGGGAGCCCCTAACTGAAGGTAGTATGGCGTAGATGCTACAATGATGAATGCACTTTAACTTAAGAGGTTGTTACGTCGATATGTCTTCAAGACTCGGGAAGAGCTGAACACTGCGTCACACCAATGACATGCGTTAGCTGGCAGAATGCGCTTCATCATATTCCATAGCGAACTTGTAGATAACTTCTGGATTGCTCCCGCCACGAACGCACGACCTCTCTTTCGTGTATCCGGCATTTCAGCTATGGGGCTATTGAGACCAAGTACCACATCTCGAGTGGGGAAAAATGGCGTGTCGTGCATAAAAATTCGGCCCGGCAGCAGCTTTCGTCACAACTTTTTTAAACTGTTCTAGGACCCACTTTTAACTCCCATCCATCTCAAAATGTAAGCGATCTCTACGCAGACAATCTTTCACCGCAAATCGCCATTTCATATGGGCGCCTAACATATCTTGCCATGGTTTTTGAACTTGTTTGCTCTATCAGGATAAATCAGCTCACGCGAAAATGACTTACGATGATAATGCTCCACCAAAACGCTGATTGCTGAGCGGCTGGCGCTGGCCGCCACGCCAACCACAGACGTTCATTTCTAGTGACGTCACTCACACCCCTGAATAGCAGAATACATTCTGACCATCTCATTACAGATGCACCAAGAAAATCGCTGCGGTTTGCGCGTCACTTTTTCTCGCTGTCAAACCAACTTCCATGTCGTTTGTGAGCGAGATTGCTGTGATATTCCCAAGCGCAGTGGCAGAGGGTACGGTAAATATACCAATTAAATCTACTGTATGCACCAAGATAACCCATCGCAAAAATATAATTTGGGACTATTAAGAAAGAAAGCAGGAGCTTAGGGCCGCGTCGAAGTGTTGTTTGCGTCGGTTGGACAATGTAAAATAAATATTTATTTCCCTACTACATGTTGCTGGCCTTGCAATGGAACACTCCACCGTTGTTGTCAGACATAACTGATCTAGAGGGCCTCGTCTGGGTGTCATTTTGAAACATGCCTAAAGGTGGCATACTCTCTCTGCATAATATCTTCTGATAGAACGTGGATAATTGTCAGAACAAAAACTCCCAATTCCACGTAAAACAATGAAAATTGTGCTACTCTAGAATCAAGTATTTCATAATTGGACACCTTATCGCAACATGCTTAATGGGAAAGCAGTCCTCACACAAGCAGCAGCGTGTTATGGTTTGTTTTAGGTTCAACCTCAGTAGATATGAAGGCGTGAAATCATATGTCCCCTCCACAGAAAAATAGCGCAGTAAATATCAACAAACTGTACCTTATTTGACGGAGCTGACTGACCTTCCGTTCTTCCAGAAGTAGATGAATGGGTTGACCATAGAATGAGACATTGCGAGCCAGTAGAATCCCAGGATCAAGTGCTGAAAACGAGTCACAGTAAAACAAACGCAAAATGACGTCACGGTGGATGCTTCCTCTGTCAAAAGTCATAACGCAATCGCAGTGTCCATCATATATGTATATATATATATATATATATATATATATATATATATATATATATATATATATTGATGCATGTATCACATGCTGAGTTTCTGTCAGTTTGTTCAGTTCCTACATATTAAACTGCATTGATTCCAGTGATATCGGCCGTGTAAATATAACAATTTTTACGCAGAAAAAACACTGAAGGAGTTGACCGGTTGAGTCTAGATCAGACTAAGAATTGGAACAGTCCTGAGCCGTAGTGACAGCAGGTAGGAGCATTGACATTTAAGAAGAACGGGGCGATGGGTCAGCGAAGCTGCGCGCGACTGCCTGTCATACATAGATGCCATATATTTACCATGTATTCATCATGGCTTGTTAGCTGTTCCTGTATGAAAGTCAGCTGTGCAACACATAAAATGACTCGCCCACGAAACACATTACCAAGCCCCGTACCTGGACGTATTTCCGTTGGGCGAGCCATAAGTCGTGGTAGGTGTACACGCATGACACCTGGTGAGGCAGCCACAGGAGAGCGAACGCCACCACCACCACTATGAACTTGCGGGCGATCCTGTCGACGAGGCGGGAGGAGATGTCAGGCGGGCGTGGGACGGCATAGGAGATGAGACTGAGACGGACGTGAGACGGCATAAGAGAGGAGACTGTGAGACAGGGACGTGGATTGATATGAGATATGAGACTGAGACTGGACGTGGGACGGCATGATATATGAGACTGAGACGTGTGTCGGACGGCGTGAGAGAGGAGACGTCAGCGGACGTGAGACGGCATGAGAGAGAAGACGTCATGCGGGAGTGGGATGGCGTGAGAAATGAAACTGAGACGGATTGGGACGGCATGAGAGGGGAGACGTGAGACGGACGTGGGACGTCATTAGAGATGAGACGTGAGACGGACGTGGGACGGCATGAGAGATGAAACTGAGACGGACGTGGGACGACATAAGAGACGAGATGTCACCAGACACGGGGAACGAGAACAGTGAGAAGTACGTCACTCGGAACGAGACCGGAGAGACGCAGGTGTGATGGTTGGTGACAGCAGTGAGCCAAAACAGGGTGTTCCGTGTGAAAATGATCACATGGCCCGGTGAGCGGTGGTCACACGGCATGGTGAGCGGCAGGCGCGGTGTGCATTTCTAGACGCTTATTTTACGCGAAACCCGCCGTTGTGTCATCATGACGCACGCCATATTATACGTTAAAAATGCTTCGGAAACTCTTTCTCTAGAAAGAATTCTACGGGAAAAATAACATTTGCGCATGAAAAACAAGCACATATCTAAGTACATGCCGGCAGCTTAAACAGGTAAGGTAAGCTTGAATAAGTAATGGCAAAAACCGTCACTGTAATTTTGTATAGAGATATATGCTGTTTCCAGAGGTAGTTGGTTTGCTTCAGTGTTGTCTTAATTGTTTACAGTGATGGTATGCCTCGAATAACTTGCATCAGCAGTATGCTTCCAAAATTTTAGCTCAGCCTATCTTCCCTATAAAAAATACATCTAACAAACATCGTCAAAAGTCAGTTCGGATAGTCCCAAACAGGTCGAAATATTATAAATGCAACTTGTTGGCGAGAAAATCAGAAATACCGGTTGTTGAACTAAACCGTACACTATCGTTTGATGTTAATCTCATCATTCCTGTAACTGTTTTCGCCATGTAAACGGAACTATAAGCCTATTTGTCTCTGATGCATGACACATGAGATAAACGGCAGCGAAATTCATGAAAATCGTCCGGTCTATGAAGCAACTTGCTTAATTTATCCCAGAACGGTTTTCGTTTCGTTATTCCTATACTTATTCGTCATTTTACGTTTGCGGTACTTTATGATTTAGTTCCATGGGACTTAAGTTGGAATTTTCAAATGATGGACACTACATGGCGAGCCAGAAAATGTCATTCCACTGCTTACATTTACTGGCTTTCTGCTGTACATGACGACGAGCAGTGGAATGTAATCTTATTATCTTAAACTTTATGCACTAGAGATTTAACACCAAAAAGGTTGCTGTCTGATAACGTGGCGTGAAAGTGGCATTCCTTATTCAACAGCCACGGTGTCCTTTTTGTCGCAGTGAAACGTTTATAAGACTTTCCATCACTTGTGAAGAAGCACTAGCCTACCGACACTTGCAGCGTCCTGAATTTCGTTGATTCTTTGCGTTGCAGTTTTGTGTGAGACTTTTTCAGTTTTTTTGTGAGACTTCCAGAGTTCGAGTATATCCAAGTTTGACTTACTACGGACTATGGCGGTACATGCGTTTATATATATATATTATATATATATATATATATATATATAGTATATATATATATTATATATATATATATATATGTTAAGAAGTGCTGCTGTTACGATCCTTTGCCGGGCTGACCTTTCGTCGAGAGCGGATGGCTGAGAGCTCGGCGGTCGTTTTGAAGCCGGTGCTGCCAGGCCTCCACAGCTGGCGGCCTGTAGTGACGTCACATGCACGATGATGAGGTCATACGAGGTCCCTTGCCCGAGTGCCTCGGCAAACATGCGGGGTACGGTTTAAATGGCGACATCTACTGGGACCTACGGTCAGTTCTGGACTAGGATCTCCAGATTGTCGAGGCGTGGACGAATTGGTGATTTTAATTGTTGTGCTTCGGTGAAAGGGACACCTTATAATACACAGGCTTCTTACACGGGTTGCTGCCAACTTAAGCGTACTCACCACCTGCGACGATACATCCTTAAATTAATCGCACGGTGAGCATCAAAACGAAGCAAAGGGAGGAAGTCCTTAACAAAAAACAGACGTTCCTACCTCTCACCATTGGCCCCCGGTTGAAAAACTTACCATATTATCGTGTAGCAAAATGGCCCATGAACAGCATGGGCAGGATGTAGGTGATACAGAGGAAGACGATGTTGTACCTACAAAACAGACGGCACGTCAGTGACACTTCGACTGTGCACGAAACATTGTTTTGGTGACAGCCGTAGACGGTAGCGTGTCAGGCTGCCCAGTGCGAGAGCTTTGAAAGTGTGGGAGGCGTCCCCCGTGTCAGGGGACGCTCAAGACCGGTGGTTTCCACCATAATCGTCGTGACACATAAATGTTCGACTGGTGACGGTGAGCACGGCCGCCCGCATGCAGACTCGCACACAGGCAAAACACACGCCTCAAGGGCCGATAGCGTCATGCTTATGCAGTAACACGGCAGAGAAGCTCGTCATGCAACGGGCAGGCCATAAGGGCTTCGTAGGCAGATCATCACCACTATCGCCAGCATTATCATGGCCTTAACACGACGTGAGCTCAGCCACCGTGCGGACCACGTCCACTGCTCCCAAGAAATAGCCTCAGTAAGTGAGCTGAGTCCCCGCCTGGCCTGTGCGGGCAGGGACTGGGAGGTACTTTGTTGCGCGCTGCGATGGCCACCAGCCGGCGCTGTGGAGTAACGCCGGAGCGTGGCAGCCACCTTACCACGGCCCGCCACGGCGCCGACCTAGCGAGCCGCAGTGTGAGTCGGTGCAGTGCTAGCCGAGTCAGTGTTAGGGTTAGCGCTGACTCGCTGCCTGACTCGCTGCCGACTCAATGCCGACTACTCACACGTAATCGGCGAAGGAGGTTTGCCGCAGTCCCGTCGGGCCCAGACCAGAAACGCAGCCGCGATACCTCGTCGCCGGAGGGTAGCCTGCTGTCGCAAACGGCCGCACTGTCAGTGGCACTGGAGCGGTCCCCTGACTCGCGGGCTGATTACCACGGATTATTAAGATCATTGAGAATTACTACGGCACAAGACGAGCGTTGATCACAGGTACCTCTGCCATGCAGAACAAGTTAGGAGTCGGGCTTCGTTAAACGCAGGTACGAGTGTTCGATGACCGCTAGTCCTTTTCAGGAAATGTAATGACTTGTCTTTCACATGTTATCTACACACAGCATCAGAGATAAAAGAACGCTGGAGAGCCGGAGGGCATTGACCAACGGAGACCAAATTCGTCACATGGGTCCATGCAGCGCTGGAAATGAAATCCACGTCGCGTGAAGAAGCGTGTGGATTTAGGCAAAGTGCAAAATACCGAGAGTTGGCAAGATTTTTGCAAGTAAAAAAATATCCACGCTGGGTGTGTAGAGGTTTTGGGGTTTTGACAGCTCATATTTCTGTAGTAACTTTTCAAGACCTACCATTGTTCAGAACACGAAATATTAATCGATAGTTTTGCTGTGGTTTGCATCATATAGATTGGCCAGTTGGATTGCATAGTGTAGGGATGAAGGGGGAGTTCTTCCACATTTTTTGAGGTTTTGAACCGAGATAGCTAGTTTGAAGTTCATTCAGATCAGTCACAGCCCTTCCGTTCTACGGTTTTTTCGAACACAGTCGAAAAAAGACCGCCAGCCAAAGCAAACGCCAGCAGCAGCACGAAATGATCAGCACCTGCAGATCTCTGAATTTGGCATCCTTCGTGGAAAATTCCAAGGTTTGATCTACCCAGATCAGTGACCTAAGAACGTCAAAAAGACCAACTTCCCAAAACTGAACCACAATAACTTTTGTGGGTCATTTGGTGCAGTTCACAGCTCTGTCCTCCTAAGTCCTAAACCCTCTAGTTTCTTGAATCACCACGCTCGTAAAGATGTGCAGAAAATTTTGTTCAAACTGTTTCAATGTCACCCAGGTATCCACGACACCGTAATAAAGTCATTCAAATCCTACCATTTCATTAGCCACACGCGATCAAGGCCAAGACAAAATAATTGTCGAGTCGTTCATATCTGGCGTTCTGGAACACAATTTCCAGGTCTAACAGCCATCAGCTGGGTTTTAATCAATGTTGTGTAACGTACGACGACGATGCTGTATTTAGAAACACATCTTTTGGTCAGAAATTGTGCTGCCTAGAGAAGTTTTTTACTTAAGACCATACCAAAAATTATAAGTAAACTTAGCATATCTGATGGGTGTTTCAATACCTCCTAATGTGGAGCATTTTCTTCAAGTAAAGCGCCACAACCGAATATGTGAACGCAAGTAAACACATAAAAGGAGCCAAAGCATCCGCACATCTCGACAGTTGGATTCTGCAAACATCGTATCGATTACCACCCCACCTATTGACACGTTGAAGTACTACAGATGTGTTGGCTCGTCCGCTACGGTGGGAATTTTTCCCGGCCAGTTTGCAAGCCGTTCCGCAGTCGTACAAGCGTTCCATGACGCAATCAAACGATGAGGTTTTGAGGAACATAGTTACTAACTGATGACATGGTTTCCTAGATCAGTTTTTTGCACTTGGAAGTGCAAAAAAGTGCATACCAGTGGTAAGAAACTGGCCTATTCATGCCATCTGATGCTTGATTCAATATCATGGAAATGAACAATAACTTTAACCCCATTTAAGCTCCGTACAAAGTGAGCAGGATGTGCTGGACGGCAAACGAAATTTGACGAAAAAGAACAAGAGCAAGACAAAATGTGGGGAACAGTGCAATTAAATCAAATTACATGAGTGTCAAATGCAAGCAAAAAGCGCGTTAATTTTTTCGAGACCCTTTAACGTCATACCTACACAAAAAAGCGTCTTTTGTGACCCTATACCCACGCTTCCCCTACCCAAAGTAACCCGAGCAGCGCGAGAGTAAATGCATCTGTAACAGAAAACCGCTACTTCTATGAAACGTTGGTCGGTATCTGTTGATGCCTATCGCTGTCAGTGTAGTATGCTGTCACTGGAGCTTGATGGCATGCGGACGAAGTGCTCTTAATAAAAGTACAACAATGCATGCCACCCAGTGATGGAGGTATGGGTGAGAACCTGCCGCCACTCCTGGACTTTCTGGACCCGTATGAACGCTCCCAGTACCCTGCGTCGCGAGTTTTCCTTCTTTCCTCCCAATACCCTGCGTCGCGAGTTTTCTCAGCATTCAGGTGGACATTCCTACTTGTACTGATTGTCAGGCGTGCATACCAGGCCAAGTAACTCCGCATTAGAGAGAAGCATTGATACCAGACTTGTCGAAGGAGAATGCACTGACAGGGTGCTAAAGCCCGTTATTAAGCGCTTAGCAGCCCTCGTTGCACATGGTAGACATATTGGTTATCCGTCAATATCACAGCGATTTTATTATTTGTTTGTTCATGCGAACTGCTTGTATTGTCGGATTCCTCAGATGAGCATCCACACTTAAACATGATTTGCTGTCCTGGTGAAACCTGGTGACACCACCGATTCGTGAAATCCCCAGTCAGGGGCAGAATTCGGCCGAGCGGAAAAGTGCAACGTACGAAATGCTCGCCTACAGTACGCCCTGTCCATCATATCACGTGATCTTTAGTGCCACCACTTATATCGGCCGCGGGTGGTGCCAGTCAGTTGCAATTTGCAATACTCAAAGCCGGTCTTGAGCCCATCCCGCCGCAGTAGGTTGAACTGTAATGCGGATGCTCTGACAAACTGAGCTATCGGGTGCAGGGCTCTTGCTTTTCTTCAGTTAAGTAGAATTGATTCCACTAAGCTATCATCCAGGTAACTGGATTAACACAATTTACTCCTCACGCACATCATTACAAATCTCGCGGGCACTCAGCACACCATGGTAAAGACGCATGCGATTAATTACATTTCACCAGCAGCACCAAAAAGCAACTGATAGCATACTGTGCGACTCAGAAACGTGTTACCCAGTGCTACGTCCCTGCCAGTATTGCGGCCTAAGGGAACTCGTGATCTCCCATCCCCCCCCCCCCCCGTTAGGTTTGAGCGCAGTTTGCACCACGGCACTGCCGAAAATAATTCCGAATGGTATCTTTACGACTGCACCTTTACGACTGTACCCCGACGGCACCTCTATGATCGCAGCACAACCCCGCGAATGCATCACGACATCCTTAGGTTTGCACCCCGACGGAACTCTTACGAGGCGCCCTTATGACTGTACCATGAAGACACCCTTTACGACTGCATCGCCACGACTGCACAACGACATCATTACGACTGCACCTCGACTGCACCCTTAGGACTGCATCCCGACTGCACCCTTACGACCATACCCCTACTGCACCCTTACGACCACATCCTGACTGCACCCTTACGACTGTACCCCGACGGCACCTTTACGATCGTACCACGACAACCTTACGGACTGCACCATGACGACACCCATAACGGCTGCAGTGCGTCTCACCGGTGCGTGACGATGTCCCGAGTAGAGCAGGTGTGGCACCGACAGGCAGCCACTGCACACCCAGATGAGAATGATGCAGCCGACCACCTCGTCGCGTCGGATTCTTGCGGTGCAGCGGCCCCGCACGATCACCATGTATCTGCAGGCCAGCCCCAGAGTCGTGACGCCTCCACCGACACACTGCCGTCACGCTGCGAGTCACGACCAGCTGAGCGTCACGCCCGCAAGTGGCGGACCGTGTGGTCCTCGGAAGGACCGCGGACCGCGGCCCCCGGAAGTGGGCCGGAAGCTTGGCGGCGAATGGGGACCCTGCCGCCAATTTGGCGCACACGTGGATCCTCGCAGGTGTGAGATGGAGGACTGTTAATCTCAAAATCACCGCCTGCGGCTGGTCATGAAGTCGCAGAATTACAAGCCATGAAACGGGCCACCGGCCGCTTCGCCACTAGCCACGGGCCCGACGCTTGCGTGGTGATCTTTGCTACACCAATGCGACACGTCAAACATAATTTCGGGAATCTATGGGTACTGTCGTTTCACAGGGGCTTCTCTAGCTTGTTTACATTTCTCGCCAGTAATGTGCGGTTTGGAACGAATCCTGCCAGGGGGTTAAAGTCTGAGGGTCGTGTGGATAGCGGGTTATCTTTCCATGCATCGCCCGTATATCTTATGCCACATGGCACACGGTTTAAGTGACATGCTCCTCCGTCCCCTAGGCAAAATCCCATTCCTTTAGACACATGCGAGCAGAGAAGTGTCAGCCTTTTCGCGCTGGATGACAGGACTGGCGTCTGTGCATGCAGTGCCCATGCAGCTTGGGGTATGCACTAGGGAGTGTTGCTAATACCCACACATGTCTCTGCACAATGTAGAAGCACATTTGGTGTCAAGTTCATGCAGTGGTAATTCAGATCACCAACCCATTGAGAGGTGGTAACCTCACATTTCAGGGGGATGAAGGTGCTCACATGCATAGGATCTGCAATGCTGCGTGTAATGCGAAACCCGTCAGGGAATAATTCCTTGCCAAAGCACTATTCTGACTGAATGCCAGTGAAGCGCAGTCACGAACGTAGATGAGACAGCAGTATTAGCCTTAACCCCTCGGAGAAAAACCAGCAGAATGGACATATGGTTGGGTTGATATTTCGGCAACATGCCTTATCGAAACAATAGCAAAAGTCATAGAGGACTTACTCACTGTAGAAACTATTTGCTATCATTCCGATAAAAGTCCTGTTGCTGAAGTATCAACCCAACGTTATCTCCATTCTTGTTTTTTTTCTCCGAGGATAAGACTAATGCTGCTGTCTTATCTATGTCGAATAATGTTCCTCGCAAATGCACTGAACAACTTGCGATCACGTACGCCTCAAGCTCACTGCCAGCAGTGACCGAAGCGTGGCCTCCCATCAGTGGTTTTGAAAAGCGGCGCTCTTCGCACCTCTTTCACAGTTTCGGGGCGCAGCTTTCTACGTTTTTGTGTTGGCTGCATACCCATTCCCCGCTTCCCGCGGGGCGTTCGTCTATGGTGGACATGTGACACCTTTCAGATGAAACAACTTACTAGGAAACATTGCCCGAAATTATCTGGCGCTGGCGTGCTGAGCTGGACGCAGTTGGTGGCCTTATCATGCAGTGATTTTACGTTTATGATAGGAAAACATCGTGGACCCTGGACCTGCATCACGGAACATTCCGTTAACACCTTACTCCCGGCAGATCATCCTCTCTGAACTCAGACGTCGCCACGCAGAGCTGCATTTCAGCTCGGTATCTATCCGGCAACCCCCGCCGCGTCGCGTGGACCGATCCCCCTCGTTGTGCATCCTCCTGACCCCCGCCGCGGTCGTGTGGACCGCTCCTCCCGTCACACGGCCTCCTGACCCCGCCGCGGTCACGTCCCGTCGCGCGCCTCCCGCCCCCCGCCGCGGTCGCGTGGACCGACCCTCCCCCGTCACACGGCCTCCTGACCCCCGCGGTCATGTGGACCAATCCTCCCCGTCACACGGCCTCCTGACCCCCCGCGGTCACGTCCCGTCGCACAGCCTCCCGCCCCCGCCACGGTCGCGTGGACCGGTCCTCCCCCGTCGCGCAGCCTCCCGCCCCCGCCGCGGCCACGTGGACCGATCCTCCCCCGTCGTGCAGCCTCCCGACCCCGCCGCGGTCGCGTGGACCGATCCTCTCCCGTCACACGGCCTCCTGACCCAGCCGCGGTCACGTCCCGTCACACAGCTTCCTGACCCCGCCGCGGTCACGTGGACCGCTCCTCCCGTCACACGGCCTCCTGACCCCGCCGCGGTCGCGTGGGCCGATCCTTCCCCGTCGCGCAGGCTCCTGACATCGCCGCGGTCGCGTGGACCGGTCCTCCCCCGTCGCACAGCCTGCCGACTTCGCCGGGAACCTGCCGACATGTATCATTATCATCGCACGCAGCGTCCACATAACACGGCCACAACCGGAAATAAAGTCCACCTTTCTATCGAGACAGCGACGAGGCTGAAGACGCTGGCTGGTGACCGTCAGGCTGGACACGAAGTTGCCTGATGATGCAGAAGGGCAAGGCCAAACCGCCAGTCGGCGTACACCACGTAGAATGAAGTTGAAGGTACCAGTTCCAGGCTGATCATGAGCAGGTTGGCGACGCTGAGGTTGGCCAGGAAGCAGTTGTGTGCTGTTTCGCATGTGACGGTGAGCTGGAACACAAATGGGTCGAAGTCAGGCAGGTTTGTTCTGGTTGGGTTAGGTTTGGTTCTGGTTTGGCGCTCTGACGACCGGAGGCGTATGCTGGCCACTTCATGCTTTGTACTAAAACACTCACGCCACGGTACTTACCATAGGGTGTTTGGCAAAGGTTCCATTCTATAATAGCTATGAAAAAGCAACTTTAAAGTTTGAGAGGGCACGGCTTTGCTGGTTTATCTTCACCCTCACCCTACAAATGTTTTGTTTTCAGAATTTGGAGGGGCTTTGATAAAAGACACTTTACGGGAACAAATATGATCAAGCACATAGCAATGCCAATATTTGTGACATTCGGCACACGTCGGATGGAACAGCTCTTGCGCACAAGAGCTATTGTTCATTTTGACTTGTATCTAATATCTAAAATATAGGCCGTTTAGTGCAAGCGGATCATCTTTTACCACGACGTTTTAATCCACGTTCGTCCTACGTGGGGCCCCACAGAAGAGGCCACCGTCACGCTTTTCCGTTGGTTGCAACCCCCCACTCATGCGCTTTTGAGTGCACTTCTTTCGACGGCAGTGGAGCGATATTCGTCCAAGTAAACTTCGAGTCCGGCATTAAATAATTTACTCAAAAGCCTTGGCCCACCAAAAAATTTGTGTGACGTGCTAAATATTACAATACTTCAACTTAACACGCGCCCGGGCGGCCAGCCAATAGCCTTCGCTCCGGTGGGGGTCAATTTGACCCCTGCCTGAGATCTAAGGAACTAAGAGAGCTAGGGACAACAAGCTTACAGGACGCGTTGGTCTGTACCTGAGCTCACTTAGGTCGGAGTTTGTAGCTCATAGGTTATGACCTTCCGGTCAAATAGCGTCAAACAAGGCCAAACTCCAAGTTGGTCTCCAAAGTGTTCCCAAAACCTGTTCTAAGAAAAAGGTCATATACCCATTTAATGTCAGTGATCTTGTTTGACCTTTTGAATGTCATGGTGACCTAAGTCACACAAGGCTGTTTTTAGTTTTGCAGTTGAGTAAGCGACGCAGATTACTCCTGGCAGTACGTTCCTATAAGCAAAATGTTGACCTGGGTCATTTTACCTTGCATAATCTGCACTGCACATATGTGTGGTTAGTTGGTCCGATGAGATCCCTCCCTTTTAAATATCGCGGTCAAAGTGTCCCACAATACTCTTAAAACAGATAGTGCCATACGCCTACAAGGTCAAATTAATAAAGCTTTCAGAAATAATTGCGGTCAGCCAATCATGTAGAGTACTGATAGCGATTGAAAATAGATTAGATAATTAGGTCAGGTTCTACAAGGAAAGGGCGTATCGGTGGCTTGCAGAAACAACTCACTAACATGATTGTAGGTCTTAGCGGCGGCTAGGTAGCCCGCACGTCCTACTATCCAAGCACAAACACCCGCCCCTTGTCTGGCAAGAGGCTCACCTCTGGGGCGACTCCCATCCGCCTCGCGAGAAAATCCGCGGGCTCTTCGCGAGGAGACTCGCATCTTACCCGACACGGAGAAGCACCAATACCCAATGCGATTGGCGAAGCGCCACTTAATCAGCGAAACGTCTGCAGCCCGGGGAAGCAACTACTAGACTCGACACACGTCCCTGTAACAGTCTAGTGAGCGCATGAGGCGACGGCTGGCTGCGCGCGAAGCGCCGTGCCTCGTCGGCGAAGCGACGCCTTACTCAGAATGATGGCGCAGACCAGGCTGTTGCCGGCGATGGCGATGACGAGCATGGCCCCGAAGGCGACGGCCCAGCCGAGCGCTGCCCACGACGCCATGGCGAAGCCGTCCGGCCGGGCGCCAGCCTGCGCGCCGAAGTTGTGCTCCAGTAGGAGCCGCAGCTGCCATATGTCCGAAGAAGCCTCGAGCATCGCGACACGACGTCCTCCTGCGGGTGAACAGTGGGGCGTGAGTCCCCTCTGCTCTGCTGAAGGCGGTGCCCTGCGCCACTCAAAGGGCGCCGAGGGGCGTCGTCAGATGAATTCTGGCCCAGCGGCTGTGTGTTTGGCGAGCACGTAAGATAAACCGGCATGAGAGGTACGCAGCGAGTGGTCAGGGGAATACAGAACTATTCGCAACAGCGTAACGACTTCTGTTGACTTTGTGACCTCTGCCAGGCCCTCACATTCTGAAGTCCGAAGTGCCGTCGCCTTGCCGGGTCCACAGACATGCGGGCAGGAAAAGGAAGTGGGGGGGGGGGGGGGGGCTGTCTGAGCGGGCACTATGCGGTTCAGATGGGAGATAGGAGCGCGCGGGTTCAGTTCGTCTCGAACCACACCACACACAAACGCAGGTGTAGAGTACTACACGTGAATATTCCGTTCTACTAAAGCGTATCAGCCATTTGGCGCATCAAAAGACACGGTTTGTTTTCACAGCGGAAAAGCGGAAATTCAATGACCACGAGGTGCTGAATAAAATTAAGAATGCCAACAAATGCCTCCCGGCCTCCATCGCTGCATCAGGGTGAGAACCAGGGGAGATGGGATAGTGGACATGGGCGTGCATTTTCCGGACTGATCAAAACGTAAGCCTATGTGACCTCAGTTCACAAGTCTCAAGTTCTCAAGTCTCATGAGAACTTTCAACTCATAAACGGTTCTCATTCATATATCTCCATGAGGATATGAATATAATAATTAAAATGGGTCACTGAAGATATGCAAGCAGAAGCCATGGGTAGGGGCCTGAGCGTATTAACAGCATGTAACTGCTGTTCTTCTAGAAGCTCTGGGTATGGAAGCTGACCGTAATTGAGACATGTTGTAGCTCCGTTTTCTTCTTCACAAGGGGCAAGACACCTTCCCTGGAAGTGGCACTTTTGCAAACCTAACATATCACGACTGTCACTTTGCAGGTTGTCTTATTGTGACGCTGCCAACGACAACGCGCACTTCAGTGCGCTCGCTTTCAATGGCGCACAAGAAGCACATGTTAGTCAACACTTGGCGGAATTCCAACAGTGCATAAAAAAATCAATAAAAAGAGATAACCACAAACTAGTAGAAAGGCGTTTAACAAACGTTTATACCTTTAACCGTAACTTATTTTTGGAAGACACGTATCCTTCATGACACGCGTAGAGCACACGGTATACTCTTATCGCTATGAGATGTGTTTACGACGCACTGTGCGTGAGGACGCTTCCAGTTTTACCCACTTGTAGAACACATTATCATATAACTAGCCAGAACAAAAGCGCCTACATTCTCTATCATCTTATGTCTACATGATTTTTACTAGATACAAAAAATAGTCACCTTTAGCTCATTTTTGCACCTTTATGAAGCTCCAGTGGACGAACACGCTCAGTTATTTCGCATTACAGCGTCGTTTTTTACTTTACCTCCTGGTATAAAGAAGGTTGTTAGCTGAGAATGGAACTTTAAACTTATAATAGTTATTGTTAGCATGCTCAAGTAGTCGTCAAACAATTGTACGTAGAATTTGGGCATGCAGGTAGACGTGATACGAAAAATGTCTCCCGATGCGTAAGTAACCATGCAACATCAACCGTCAACAGAGCTCGGTACTTTAAAGGTAGCATTTCACATTTGATGATGTTGAGGCAAGCATCAGATGTAATGAGACAAGGTCACTTATTACTTTGGGTGTGCTTTTTAAGTGGAAAAGGCTGCTCTAGACAGCACAGTTCTCTGGCAAATATACATCTGAATGCGTCATGGTTTGAGCACGTCATCTTGTCGTGCACAGCATTGATTGACAGCCGGTTGACGGCCGTCATATCTGGAGATCGCTCTCGAGAACGCCAGCTATGAACATCTCGGCAGCTGCATTTTTCACCTTGATCGCCGCATGGCCTATGGAATAGCAAGACTTGACGGACGTTTATTATGCCATCATGGATGCCAAGGCTACTCTGAAATATTATCCCCATATACTTGTACCTATTTTCGACGCGCGGCGCGTAGCTCAGAAACTAGAAGAGCCTTGGTTTTAAGAAGGGAAGGGTTGTGAACACCCACTGAAAGGTCTCCAAGATGCTATTTCAATTCCAACCCCCATGTCAGTGTGGAATACTACCTTTAAAGCTGTGCTCTTACTAGTGTTCCACTGTAAAAACACGGCCACAGTGAGCACAAAGCAGTGAGCACAGTGCACAGATTGCGAAAATGCTTCATTTGTAGGCAGAGCCAATCTGTGAGCAGGCTCCACAGGCTGGTAGACAGGCAGAGGTGACCGGCGCGTATGTGGCAAACTTGATTGAGCGAACTCGCGTTTCTAACATCAATTTGCGACAGTCAAGTACGAATCCTGTGAGGAATAATAGCTTTGGAATGACTCAGCTATGGCTGTAACGCTGGCTCAGCTGGCAGAGTTGTTAAATGGTTCTGGCTCACCGGTGGGCAGCAGCGAGACAAGGGCGACTCAACGGGAAACACTTACCAGCGACAAGGACAGCTCAACGGTGAGCACTTAGCAGTGACAAGGACAGCTCAACGGTGAGCACTTACCAGCGACAAGGACAGCTCAACGGTGAGCACTTACCACCGACAAGGACAGCTCAACGGTGAGCGCTTGCCACCGACAAAGACAACTCAACGTGAGCACCTACCAGCAATTAGGAAACATGGACAAGAAGTCGCCAGTGACAAAGACAAACGATAGGTGAGCAGTCATCAGCGCTTAGTATGAACGATGGGCGAGCGGTCATCGTCGACAAGTCTGGCTTACTTACGGGCGGTTAGCAGCGACCATGAGGCTAGCAGTGATCAGCTACTCGTCATCGGAGCAACTCTACGGTGAGCAGCTGTGGAGCAGCTGCCAGCGGCCGACCTAACTCATCAGCGAGCATTTACCAACGACAATGCCAGCCCGTACTTGGGCCGCTCAGCGGCCAGCCAGCTCAGCAGCGGCGCGGCCGGGGCATACCTGCTCTCGCGAAGCGCCCAGAGCGGTGCCGGTGCTCAGCCGGGCGGCAGCAGCCGCGCTGGACACCGTCCCCCGACCATGGCCGATGGCCGCGCTCAGCACGGCGAGTGTGGCCGCCCGGAGGCAGACCTCAGCCGCTGCCCGCGGCCGCCGATGGGGCGGATGACTGGCTGCCGCCGACGGCCGAGGCGTCCAAGTCAGCGTGCGTTCCGGCCGGCACGAGGCGCTCGAGAAGGGCTCCGGAGAAGCGATTCGCTCGCTAAGGGCTCCGGCGAAGCGCTTCACTCAGCAAGGGCTCCGGCGAAGCGCTTCACTCGGTGAGGGCGTCGGCAAGGCGCTGCGCTCGGTAAGGGCGTCGGCGAGGCGTTGCGCTCGGTTCGGGCTCCGGTCAGGGTTGGAGCTCGGTTGTGGCTCTGACGAGACTTGGCGCTCAAGGGATGGCTAATCGTGACTCCGAGTTCAGTCCGGATTCGGCGGCGCGAATCTTCAGGAACGTTTGCAGCGGTCCCCGTGGAATTAAGTCACGAGAACACTATCTTTTGACCGTATTCAATGCGACCTTGTCAAGACAAGAAACAATTCAATTGATAGTGCGGGTGGTATTCTATACCACTAGTATAGTCTAATATAGTCTATAGTCTAATAGCACCCGTACGTGAACCAAACGAAGTGGCAGCACTTCGACGTCGCTGGAAAGGTCTCTCACGGTGTGCGTGCGCGTGCGTGTTGACCCGTCACCAGTGTCCGGCGCACACACACACGCACACACGCACGCGGCGCGTCCTTCGCAGCGCTCTGTGCAGGTGCAACTGCTGGTCGGACTTGCCGTCTCGCCTGGAATACTACGGTGCGCGCGTCTGTTGCGCCGCGTCCCCCCCCCCCCCCCCCCCCTGCCGACGCCAGGCAAGACCGCGCGGCCCGCCCCCGGGCTATCGTCGGTGGTATAATGAGCTACACGCCATCAGGTTTTCATCGGTGGCACGATTGCCGTAGGAGGGCCGCCTTATGGCGACGGACGACGACGGCCGCGGCGAGGGCACGTTGGTTGCGCGCGACGTCCAGCTAATCGCGAGGCTCTGTCGTCCTCTTCCTCGTCAGCCTGCCGCCTCACCTCGCCAGTCTGCGGTCTGCCTGAGGTGAGGCGGCAGGCTGGCGAGGGAAGAAGCGCAGCATGTGCTTGCTGACGAGGGTAGAAGCGCAATATGTGGTAGCTGACGAGGGAAGGAGCGCAGCATGCGCTTACTGACGAGGAAAGAAGCGCGGTACGCCCTAGCTGGCTGCCAGGGGATGGCCAACTGGCTTCATGATGGCTTGGTAATGGCCATCCAGTACTCTTGTTTGCGGAGAGAGCGGTTCAAACCAGTGGCATGGCCACCGGAAGGATCCTGGCCCGGTTTGTCGCAAATTGCCTGTCATCAAACCTTCATCATGCCATGACTAGCATTGACCAGCGGGAGTCTGCAGCCTTCTGCTCCTGGGCCTGGCCTAGTTTCTGAAATGGGCCTATTTTCAGGGAAATGGGCAAACCGCGGTCATTACGCCAGAACACCGGTCAAATGGGCCAAGCATAGCTGTCTCCAATGATGAAAACAAATACGTCCTGGTCTATGACAAAAGAACCAATTATCAGGGACGATTTTTGACATCGAGCCCAAGCTGTCCCGCTACAACTTAAGCTGTCATGAATATGGCCTCGCAATGACAGTTTGCAAAGTTCTTGAAAAAGCCTGCTTCGGACAGACCCTGCTCCCAGGGGCTCCCCCGGAGCGGTCAGTGGTGGCCGGGAGGTCACAGGCAGGTCACAGCAGCGAGGGAGGTCATGCAGGTCACAGCAGCGAGGAAGCGTCCAAGGCAGGTCACAGCAGCGAGGAAGGGTCCAAGGCAGGTCACAGCACCGAGGGAGCGGCCAAGGCAGTTAACTGCACCGAGGGAGGTCGCAGTCAGGTCACAGCAGCGAGGGGGGTCACAGGTAGGTCAC